ATATATATATATGGTATCAGATGGATCTCTGTGCACTGAGGACAAGCAAGTCCTAGGTTACAAACTGAACTCTCCAATGCAAGAACAAGATGCATTTCTTCCTTTAGGAGGTGCGATTGTCAGAAGAAAATAAAAAGGCTTCAGTTTTGTTTTTGCACGTGGGTGGGTATTCTGTTCGTAATAATTGTTTGGATACACTATATTTTTAATATGCTAGTTGTGATAATTTCACGCCAAGTAAAAATGTCCGTAGTCGTATTTTATGTTCCTAAAGTAACAGAATGACTTTCAACCTAGAAGAGACAAAAGAAATGCTAATGTAGCATTTTTTTCAATTTTCCTGAAAATTTCCGTTTCCCCCCGAAAAAAACTAGGTTTTCTTCCGAGCTTCAAAATTTCCGGAAATTTTACATCTCTATTCAAGTTACGAGGTGACACTGGAGAAGGATCACAGAGGCCCAGCACAGCACGGCTTGCTCTTCAAGCTGTGGGTTAGAGATGCCACATGGGAAAGAGACAGTAGCCTGCACATGTGAATACTCATCTCACTTGGATGAGCGTGGAGGACGACAGCAAACGTGGTGTAGTAGCCAGTTGGACCAGGATCTGGGAGACCCAGGTTTGCATCCCCACTCTGCCATGGCACTCAGCAAGTGATCTGGGGCCTGTCGCATGCCCTCAGCCTAACCTCCCTCGTAAGGTCGTGGTGAGGAGAATGACATAAGCCACTCTGGGTCCCCACTGGGGAGACGGGAGGTGTCTGCATGAAGTTAATAAGTAATCAAATAAGTAAAACTCAGAGAAAGCAACATCACTGAATGATGCCTGAGGACTAGGCTCGCCACCTCACCTGCTTCGGCTGTTCTCTTCCTCTCCTCGGCCATCTTGAGCCGGTAGTCGCCGAAGACCTGGTGCATCATCTGCCGCTTTTTCACAGAAGGAGCCTTGCGTGAGCGCAGCACCCTGAGGATGCGCTGGGAGTCTTCCACTGCTCCCCAGAATCGGGGGAAGGGGGGGGGATCCAAAAGAATCACATGATTATCTCATGAACCACTCCGCTCTGATGCTTGCTCTTCTAAAATACATTCTGACAGCACCTGCAATGGGTTTTAGATTCCCTCTCTCGCTCTTCCTCAAAAGAGCCCTATGTAGTAGGTTCATATAAATCCCACTTTTGATCAACTGTATCTTAAAACACAGCAAATATTTTGATAGCATTCCCTTGGGAATCGAAGGATTTTGCCCTCAATAGCCATTTGGGAATGTAGAACTTGACAGATTTAAGTTCCAGAATAAGTGCACTTGTACAAATAGATTAGGAGGCACAGAATCAGTGCAAATGTGGTGCTTATGTATCCATGGTGTGAAACACCCAGAACAAAGCCAGGCCAAGAGAAACAATGAAAACAGATTCTTAGTTGTCTTAATGGCTGGGTACATTTTCTCTTTTACATTTCTTCTGTTTAAATCTGATGCATAAAGGCAGGGGTCATTTCCTGCGGGAGCGCACAGGAGCGGAGCTCCGGCGGTAAGGAACCCAGGAGGCGGGCACATGCTCCCAGCAGCCCTCAGACAGAGCAAGAAGCAGCCAGGTAAGTTACAGAGGCCCCCCCCCCAGCCAGCCTTCAGGTACAAGCTCTCCCTCCTCTGTGAGGACAGATCTGCACGTCCCCTCCCCATAGCTAGCAATCCAAAACAGTCCAGTGGAGCCTGAGCGGTGGGTGTTGCCTTCTGACACACGTCCGGTGACGTCAGGGGTGTGTGGCATATGCAAATGTTATGCTAATGAGCTCCTGAGCCTCTTTTTCTACGAAATGATCCCTGCATAAAGGTAAAGGCCTTCTCCCCAACAGGAACCCAAAGCTGCTTACATTGTTCTCCTCTCCTCCACTTTCTCCTCACAACAGCCCCATAAGGAAGGTAAGGCTGAGAGTGTGGGACCGGTCCAAGGTCACCCAGAGATTCCATGGCAGATAGGGCATTTGAACCTCGGTCTCCCAGATCCTAGTTTGGCAATTGGCACTCTAACCATTATGCCACAATGGCTCCGTTTAGTAACACCTTCCCATATTTTCTACGTTCTCTGCTCATTAAAACAGAAGAGGAAGAAGAGAACAATGGGGATGCAGGGCAGGTACTCGGGTGTGAATTGAGGATCAAGGCAGAGGAAGCCAACACTGATACACACCTTGCTCTGGAGTTGGATGGAGATTGAGGAGGCCAGTCTCCAGCTGCGAGATGCACCACTCCAGTTCATCTTGGAATGTCCCTCGGGGAGCCTGGATCGGGGGACAGAGCACACAGATGTCATAAGGCAGCTCTTCAATGGGGAGGCAGAGCAGCAGTTGCATGTATAGGCCCAGAATAAGGACATACTAATAGGAACAGAAACTAGAGAAACCACAGAGGATGAGAACAAACTTTGACACTGGACCAGCACAAACCTCTTTATTGCAGATGCACAAAAATTGTGTTTTCTGCATACAGAAGCAACACTTGCAATATAAGAGTGTGTTTTCCCCACTGCAGCACAATGAGGTGGTAGAATCCTGCAGCAACAGAATAGGCTGTGCCACTTTGGCCTGCATGAGTGTGTGTGTATGTGTGTGTCTCATTTTTAATGGTTCCCAACATATAACTCCATGCAAACAAAACCATCGGCATATCCAGGAGAAATTTTTTACACTAGCCCTTCACAGTGTCATAGATGCAACGAACATGAAGTTGAGCAGACTTCAGAGGACGGCGGAAGACCGGAAGACCTGGCGTGATCTGGTCCATGGGGTCGCGAAGAGTCGGACTCAACTGTGCGACTGAACAACAACAAACAACAACAAAGCCCTTCACATACTTTGGCTAAAACAATGTTAGGAACTTCAAAACAGTACATGAGACTCTTACCTCTTCCATTAGGAAAACTGGTGATACAAACTTATGTACAACTCCCAAAAGCTTACATCACCATTCACCTAGAAGACCAAGGTGGCACAAGGTGGCACAGCAGCATCTAAAAGTGAACAGGATACAGAGAACAGTGTACAATTCTGATTTTATACATTTCCATATGTTATAATTAGCTCATTGCTACACAATTACCCGATTCATTCTGTAATCAGGCCCCAAGTAGTTCTTCCTGCACCAGATCTCTAATTTCTGATCCTTAGAAAGCAATATCCCCTTCTCCAGATCTCCCAGTAAGGAAGGTATCTTCTCTACTCCAGAAGCAATACCTCCCCAATTCTGATATCTACAACACCTGTCCTCCCCACAGACCAACATCTCTGTTCTTCAACCATCAGAGTAGCCACTATATCCCAAAGACAATTACCAGCCTGGACATTAAGTGGATTACAACATTCTTCCCTTCTGTACTGTATCTTCACAACAACTCCGTGAAGTAGATTAGGCTGAGAGTATGTGACTGGCCCAGGGTCATTCAGCAAGCTCCCATGGCAGACTGGGGAACTGAACTCGGGTCTTCCAGATTCTAGTCCAACATGCTTACCCCCCTACACCATGCAGACTCTCTTTCAAAGCCAATGCCAAGCAGTGTTTCTGGACAAATAACACACTTTATTGCTTCACTACAATACTCAGGTTTTCTATTTGCAACTGTAATTTTTTTCCTGCCTCTCAAATAACAAAAAAGTGAAATACATATTCCAAGGTAGTCATGTTCGCCTGCCGCAGCAAAATAAAACAGAAGTCCAGCAGCATCTTAAACTAATTTTATTCCAGCATAATCAGCTGTGAGTCCGATATCACTTTATCAAATGCAAGACTGACTCACAAAACTTTATGCTGGAATAAATGTTGTCAATCTTTTAGAGGTGCCACTAGTCTTGTTTTATTAAAGTAGCATAAAGTGCAGCAGTTTGCAGCGCTCCCCTCTTTCTTTTATTGTGTACGTGGACAATTTTGTTTGCAGAAAACGAAGGCATTTATACTTTTCAATTGTATAGGAATGTCTAGAAGCAGAGTTTTATATGTTAATTAAGTTGCAGATTATGCATATGGGGGGCTGCTTTTCCCCGAGTTTTAAAAAGGGATTTTCCTCAAAAGTTTCATCCACTGCTTTCCCAAAAAAAATCCTTCAGTGAAAAGCCCCGCCCCCCGCCGGGGATTCAAAACTTCCAGAAATTTTACATCTCTAATCCTGCATCCCAGACAGTGCCAAACTGCCAAGCAGGGCCCCCAAAGACAGCCCCCCCCCTCGGGGGGCTGTCTTCTCCCGCGGTTTTTACACTCACTCACCCAGCCAGAGTCCCGTTTTAAACCCCAGATTATGAGACAACGACGCTCCCGTGCAGGCCGTTTCTGTGCGTGCTCCTCAGAAGCAAATCCTACTATATTCAATGAGACTTACTGGCAAGCAAATGGAAACAACAGGTCTGTAGCTTTATTACACTCTTACCCACATGCTTACCCCATAAATTGGACTGGGAGTCCGTCCTGGAAAAAGGCAGCGGGGCCGGAGGAGGAGACGGACCGTGCCCGGTCACAAATGTATTCCCCCTAATTCTTGAGACTTCAGTTCCGCCGTGAAATAGTTCCGGGCATACTAGTGAAAGCCGAAGCAAATCCTTTGCGTTCTCAATCCACTCACCTGGGAGCCCTCCATGAAGCGTATCAGCTTTTCAAAGGCCCTTGTCATTCCTGATCCCCTTTTTCCTCTCTAACAAACCCTACATTTGTACCTCTTTTTCTACCTGTGAAAGGCTTGTAAAATTTAAGATCAGCAAATTTGTTAGTGGATTAAGTTAGTGGAGCTGCGGTGGCTCAAGTAGTTAAGACGCTGAACTGCAAGCTGTGGAAGGTCAGTAGTTCAGCAGTTCGAGACCCGGGTGCTGCATGATGGAGTGGGCACCCACCTCTAGTTCCAGCTCCTGCCAACCTAGCAGTTCAAAAGCAAGAAATTGCAAGTAGATAAATAGGGACCACTTTGGTGGGAAGGGAACAGTGTTCCGTGCGCCTTGGTGTTTAGTCATGATGACCATGGAGACGTCTTCGGACAGCGCTGGCTCTTCGGCTTGGAAACGGAGATGAGCAACGCAACCCTAGAGTCGGATTCAACTGGCTTTCGAGCAAGGGAACCTTTACCTTTTAAGCTCTAGAGAGCTTCATCAGAGGCATGAAGTGGTAATAAGTTGGCACATAAATTTATATCCAGAAAAATAATACACATATACCTTTGAGTATAATTCTAACAAGGGAGCTGCTGAAAGGAAAGATAGAATGACTTTTAGAACGACTTTTAGGATGCCTGAGTTCCTTTTGAACTCAACAAGTTGAGAATACATGCAAGGGTTAACAATACATGTAAGGGTAGAATATCAGATGCCAGTCCTGAACTGTTGTGATTTTGCTTTTAAGTTCTGTATGAGTACTTAGTTGGGGGGGGGGGCACAGCTCAGTGGGCAGAGCATCTATTTTGCATGCAGGTGGCAGCAGATTGAAGGTCCTGCAAAATGGTTCAGGTAGTGAGTAAAGGACTGTTTCTTGAAGCCTAAGAGAGCTATTGCCAGTCAGAAAGGAGACTACTGAATCAGTGCCCAGCCATTTCCTAGTTTAATGTATTTGTGCAATACATCTCGCATTTTTCATAAGGTCTGCCATTTAGAGAGAGTTGTTAAAGATCAGATTGTGACCCATCAACACACTTTAATGCTTTCCCATAGTCCTTTGAAAGAAAATTAGTGCTTTTCTTTTCTTAGCATCACCCAACTGTAATACTTTCTACCTCTGACAAATGCTGAATCCACACTGTAATGTATCCAGTCCAGACAAGTCCAGAGACAAACGTCGAGCTTCGCTCCAAGAGACAATGGACTATGCGGATCCTAGCCCACTCCAATCAGGGGGCTAGGTTCCCGGCCGAGAGCCTATGGGACTCTCGGCCACTGTAAATAACCTATAGGGAAGTAGGGGTGTGTTTTGGGTGGCAGTTTCTCGGGGGATATAAGCTGGCCTGCGAGCCAGGTAAAGTCGTCTTGTTCCTGATAGAATAAAGTACGCTTTGCTGAAATCACTCTCCGTCTGCGTACTTTTCACACACATTGCTAGGTATTGTATTACAACAATTATTAATAACTAAACAACCAAGCGTGTGCACAAGACAATGCGACTACGAACACAGTAGTGAGATATCCAGCAATGCATATATACAGCATTCATGGCCTCTGTCTCCCAACCCAAATGCTCATGCCTGACATGTCTTGGTCTTTAATGTACCACTTTCATTATTTTAGCTACAGCAGACTCACAGTTGCCTTACTGGCAGGTCACGCTTCTTCTCTGCCCTCAGTAAAACAGGCAGCTGCATAAAATGGCACCTTGCTTGGCTCCTTGGGCAGGGTTTCCAAAAGCCAGTGCCGGTCCCCAGCTGAGGTTACCCACCAAGATCTTCTCCTGTCGCCCAAACCCAACCCAAATCATATGAAAGCTTTTTTTTTTTTTGCTGAAAGACCCCAAGGTAACTTTTAAGAAGATATTACTGCACCACACAACAAAATACTTACATTAGGCATTCCTATCATAACTCTACTTTTATTTGAGAAACAAATCCTCCTTGTAAAGAAGCATGCTGCTTCAAAGGTCCACTGGCCCTGATAGTTTTTAAAGCTTTGGAAGAGGCACCAACAAGCTGATCTTTAGATCTACAAACAAATAAATATATTGGGGGAGTGCATTAAACATAAGTGCCCCCTAGCGGCCAAGAGTGCATATGAACAGTCACTGTGTGGGGGGGAATCCAGTTCTTCACCCAACCAAAATCAGCTCTTCTGCAGATAAAAACTGCAGGTCACCCTGCTATTAGACTTAAGACCAGAGTAATAACAGCCTTACACCCTCATGAGAACCAATTAAAAAACCAGAGAGTCCTAGAAACCTCTTAAGATGGTTTGTCTTAACACCCGCTACGTCCCGAAGACCAACAACTGCCAATATAAACTTCATCTGGTAGATTTTTATTCTGCCATTCTTTCAAGGAGCTCAGGGTGACGTCCATCGTACTTGCCTCCCTATTATCCTCCCACCAGCCCTGTGAGGTAGAATCATAGAGTTGGAAGGGACCTCCAGGGTCATTTAGTCCAGCCCCCTGCACAATGCAGGAAATTCACAAATAACCCCCCCCCCACATCCCCAGTAATCCCTGCTCCATGCCCAGATGACAAAAAACATCCAGGATCCCCAGCCAAACTGGCCTGGAGGGCGAAAGACGATGAGTGGCCAAAGTTCAGCAAGCACCACGATATAGCAGGGATTTGAACCTGCGCCTTCCAGCTCCTAAGCCCAACACTCCAGTCTCTAAAAGGTAAAGGTTCCCTTGCTCGAAGGCCAGTCGAATCCAACTCTAGGGTTGCGGTGCTCATCTCCGTTTCAAAGCCGAAGAGCCAGCGCTGTCCGAAGACGTTTCCGTGGTCATGTGGCCGGCATGACTAAACACCAAGGCGCACGGAATGCTGTTACCTTCCCACCGAAGTGGGAAGTGTCTCTACATAGACAATAAAAGCCTTCAACAACATAATAAAAGAGAGGCCCAGATGTGGATTCTTAACAGGAATTTCCAACAGCCCAGGGCAGGAGAAAGTTAAAAACAAAAAGTATGCAAGATATACCAACGGAGCTAAGGGCCAAAGGAATCCATGCATTTATCATCTCACCTCCTTAATGTGTGGAATGTAGAGTCTGTTTTAAAATTCAGCATTCAGAGTGTGTCACCTATAGCTTTCATTCAGGCTCCTAGTCCTTAACACAGGAGAGGTGTAAGTAAAAGTCTCTGAAGAGTGGTATTGCAACTGAGCAGAACTGCCGATGGTCAGAGGAACCGAGTCCATCGGCACATTGCCCAGCTCCCAGATCAGCAGGGAACAGGGGTGTGTGTGTTGCAGTATAAAGTGACAAAAACAAGTAGAACTACTGCAATTATGCAATTAATACTTATAATAACGTTTCAATGAATACAAAATTACAAATCACATACTAATAATAACATTATATTTTTCAGATGAATAAGTGAGATGGACGAAATTCCCCGGAGTTGATGTTCCGTTTCGTGGCGACTTCTTCACACGTCAAACTGATCGGCCCGCAATTGACACTATGGTTTGACAATATAACGTGAATGAACATCAGAAACGATTAGGAGTTAAGAAATATCCATTTGGAAAGTCTTGTGACCGTATGAAGGCACGTCCGTATGAGGTTTGATGTGTGAAGAAGTCGCCACGAAACGGAACGTCAACTCCGGGGAATTTCGTCCATCTCACTTATTCATCTGAAAAATAGAATGTTATTATTAGTATGTGATTTGTAATTTTGTATTCATTGAAACATTATTATAAGTATTAATTGCATAATTGCAGTAGTTCTACTTGTTTTTTTCCTCCCAGATCAGCAGGGATAGATTATGTTATGCAAAATAATCATTGAAACATTATTATAAGTATTAATTGCATAATTGCAGTAGTTCTACTTGTTTTTTCTCCCCAGAAAAACTGCAATTATGCATTTAGATTATGTTATGCAAAATAAACAGTGATAGCATATTTGTGTAAAAATGTATTCAAATTACAGATTTTTCCTTTAAAAAGAACCAGAACCTGATTCACAGCTTGCTTTCATGGAGGGGCGCTGCAGAAGGAGGTGAGTCGGTGATCCCTTGGCGAGGCATCAGGGCTTGGTGACAAAGGGTGGGGAAGTGTGAGGTGGAGAAGGAGAGAAGCGGCTTTAAGGCCAGGGGAAAAAGCACCTGCTAAAGTCCCGTCTCCCTAGAATTAGACCCCCACACAGCATGCCCTAGACTGGCTTTAATGGTTGGCAATGCGCCGTTTTAACATTGAACAATGGTAACAGGGAGAGGCAGGCACTGAGGGTGGAAAATGGCCCGTCTCCCTGTGGTGGCAGGCTTGCTCGTTCCGTTGCTCTGTCTGCAAGGCTGGCCCAGGTCTCTGCCCTCCCACGGTGAATGGGAGCGTGTCCGTTTCAATCGCTGTCCCGTGCATAGCAGAGCAGGCGGCTACCCCAAGCCTGCTAAGGCCAGGGCGAATCAATCATAAGAGTTCTTAGCAAAGTTGTCCCAGGCCAGATGTCAGGACTGCCCTGGGTGGCTCAGTTCATTCCTAGACAGCTCCCCGCAGTGAGGAGCGAGACAGAGAGGAACAGCCTTTGTCTGGGAGGTGCCCCCCATTGGACAGGGTCCATCTTCTGCTGCTTGTTCTCCTCCCTGCTCTGGTCTCTTCAGAGAACGAAGGCGTCGTGCCTCCAGACCTGCTGGCCGGCAATGTAGGTAGCTCTGATGTGGAGACGGTCATCCAGCAGCAAGAAATCTGGAGCAGAAGCAGGAAGTGAAGTCACTCACACAGGAAGTGGGAGGCACCCACCTGTACCAGCATGGCCACCATTATACACTTCTTGTTGGGGGGGGGGTGCTGCTGTCCCACTCCCCATTGCACAAATACCTGCATCGGAGTCATAGTCCAAGGTGCCCTTCCTGTCCTCGATTCCCAGCAGCTGAGCGGGATGGAGAGAAGCAGCCTCTAGAGCCGTCTCCACTGAGCACCCTGTCAAGAAAGAAGAACCCAGGTGGCTAATCAGTAGGGGACAGACAGCTCGCCTTTTTTTTTTTAAGCCCCCCGAAGGGGTTTTTTAATTGCATTTTCTATAAACTACAGAAAAGAGGGAGGGTACTAATACAAACTACAAGAAGGGAAGACAGAAAAGTAAATCCAAGGTGTGGTGATCATACAAAATGCTTACAAATATGGCATTAAACATACACTTTCAGTTGTTGATCTTGAAGGTGACAATTAGATATGTCCAGGGGTCGTTTTGTAGAAAAAGAGCTAGGGGAACTCATTAGCATAACTCATTAGCATATGCCACACCCCCTGACATCAGGGGCCCGGCAGTGGACCTGCAAGGCCGGCGGGAGTGCGAGGAATCCCCGCGAAGGCCCTCCCTGGCCCCAGGCAGGCAGGGGTGGGGAGAGGCGGGGAGGAAGCAACTTACCCTCCCTCTTCTCCTGCCTCCTCCTGGCTGAATGAGGGCCGGAAGCGGGGTGGCCGGAAGCAGGGGGCGGGGCTTCGTCATGTGCCCCGCCCCCCACACCTCACCCGGGGGAACTGCGATCCCCCGCGATCCCCCCCGAATTGACCTCTGGATATGTCGCTTATAGAAGCTCTAGCCCATATTGACTGTTTGGAGTATATTGCTATAACACATTTAGATTTCTCATATGCAAACATCAGGTATCCTCATCATCTCTTAACCTTTAAAATATCAATTTCTACCCGTCTGGCTGTTGTGTTCTGCCTGTTTAAAAGTTCTTATCAGCCCCTGGCAGACAGCTCGCCTTTTTCTTATGCAGAAAGACTACTGAAAAAAACACAAACAAAATTGCACACCTGGGGGATATCCCTTCAAAGGGCAAGTGGGAGCTCACACGATGGGATTAGGGTTGCTGGGAAATTCCTGGTGATGTGGAGATGAAGACTCGGGAGGGCAGGATTTGGAGAGAGGAAGGGAAGGAGCTTAGCAATGATGTTCACCCTCCAAACCTGATGTTTTCTCCCCGGAAACTGATCTCCTCTGTTTGGAGAGCAGTTGTAACTCCAGCCCCAAGATGGAATGTGTGCAGATTTGGTGCACTACAACTGATGATATTGTAAAATGGATTTAGTTGTAAAAGAGCTGGTGGGGGGGGAGGTGTGAAGAAAAGAGCCATGCCTACAGGAGGCACAAACTGGATGCCAGCAAAGCCACTGGAGGCTTTTGTAGCATGAATGGGAATATAAAGATTTTTATATGTAAGTTTCTTCTTCTTGATTGTTCATATTTATATTTCTCTGGTTTTTATAGATTTATTCTTTAAGTAATATTTTATTAGGATGTTAGAAAGGCCTGTTATATAGAAGGCTTTCCTCTTGTAGGTCTGATATTGTTGGCAACATAATATGTACAAAGTTCATGATTCTGTAGTTCTTAGGGCAACCCTTTCAATGTCTGGGTCAGATAAGATTTTTAGTCTCGTATCAGTAATGAATACTTTTGTTTAGGTGAGAACAAGCTTTAGCCGATATGCCTTAGGTCATGTCAAGTAAATATGTGACGCCATTGCATAGACACACCTTTCTTACATTTGACCAATAAGGAGATTTTTATGTAAATGTTGTTTAAGTTTTTGTAACCAATTATGCCTTTTGAATATTATTCCCATGATGATGGTATGATGATGTCAGTCCGTGTATACAATATCATGTATTTCCTGAATATGTTCAGAATATGCTCAAGAAGAAGATGAAGAAGAAAAAGAAGAAAGTTGTCAATTTTTGGTTAACTATTTGGTCTAATTGTTTTCCTATTCATTGAGGCATGTTTCCT